GCTACAAAACAGCCAGAAAGCAATTAATGAGATGGTGTTAGTAAGTCCTTGTATCTGGGGTCAGATCATTCTTTTTTGTAGGGACTGTTCTGTGCATTGTAGGATACTGAACAGCAACCCTGAATTCTGCTCTCTAGAAGCCAGCTGTGAAAACCAAAAATGTGTGCAGGCACTGTGTCTGGCAGGAAAAGGCCATGAATGCTGCTAAAAATGCTAAAATGCAATCCCCTACCTCTCAGAACAAGAATTGTCTGGCCTAAAATACCAACAGTGCCGAGGCTGAGAAAGCCTGATGTAATTTGGTTATGTACTCACGTTCTTTACGCGTCACACAGTTCGATTTCGTGACAAATCCCCCTAATAATATATGTGACTTTACAACCAGCGAGACTTTCTACATTCTAGAGGACGAACATCACCACGAGTGGGATGGCATCCACACTGTAACATCATTCTATAGTACCCCTAGAAGAGGAAGCTTCTGCATGTGAGAGCATGCTGTAAACTAGACTTTTCCAGAAACAAAGGAACTTAGAAAAAGTGGTACATTTCCAGTGTAGGTGCATTTACTAACCTAAGAAAGAAAGAAAAAAAAAAACCTTACTGCTTAAACTCAAGGTTCTTTACCATAGATCTATAGATTTCTCTACTTTAAATGATACCGCTTTATGTATAAACTGTGTCTTTCAGTATTACAACCCCGTAAGTATATTTTGGCCAGAAACGATAATTTGGTGGTACATGATGGCTTGTATTGGGTCTGTGGAATATGATTTTTATGGGCTGTTGCCTGTAAATCATATTTTTTATCTTGGAAATATAATGCCTATTTTAGAATTATATCACCCCTACTCAATACTGTTCTAATTAACTAGTGTCCATGGGGGACAGAGATGAATTATACTTAATTTGGATGGAAACACAATGACGATTGAGGGAAATTTTGCAACAGCCTCCTTTGCCCCCAAGTTTTGCAGAAGGATTAGAAAATGGGATTGTTTTCCAAAAATAAGTACAAAAACTGAATGACAGTTAGGCCTAGATTCATCATGCTGTAAATTCATTAGCACAAATTGCCACTTGTGCTGGAAAGGCATTACTTTAAAATCAAAACGCTTTAGATGTTATACTTGCCTCCAGGGAGAAATCTGTACCATTAATGGAGAAGATTGTTTTACTTACACACATGTAATCCTCACAGAGGGCTTAATATTACTCAGAATCACTGCTAATACTAAAGAAACAGTAAATAAAATAACCTGAGAGACACCTAGCCAACATCCCACTACCTGGCTCTAAATTTATGTGGTCAGAACTGAGATTTATTTTCCTGGTTTTACTTGGGGGAACATTGAATCATGGATCTGGATTGTTTTTCTTCCTAATTTTACTGGCCATTTGTTTGGCTGTATCTCTTCTGTTTCAATTATGTTTTAAATACTACTTTAATGGAGCCATTGTCCTGTCAGATGGTGTAACTATAACTCTGGTGGAAAAGCAGAAAAAAATTATAAAGATCACCAAAACCTGTATCTCATCTCATATCCTTCTTAAATCTCTGGCATTCATATCCCTCTAGACAATACTTAGAGTCCTCTCCTATAACCTGGCTAAGGAAGGCCAAAAGGGAGGACAGAGAATGAAAAATTTCTCTCTCTCAAAGAACATGAGCTTCTCATGTGCAAGAGATTGTATATTTCAATGAAGCTAATGATTCACAGATTTACAGAAAGCTATCAAACTGGGCAAGACCAGTTCCAAGTTGAAGCCTTCATTCATCAGCAAGACCTTTTGAACACACCCACTTTTGAAATTCACCCAATCAGTGATTAGCCCTGCTTTATTCTAGTAAAAATGCTTGTTTCATTTAAATCTAAACTAAACTGCACCACCACAACTTCTATATAATTGATGAAATAAGATGATTTTTAAGGCAGGTCAAGAAAATTTTCAAATAAAATTCTTTCTCTGCCCATTTGGGCCAATACCTCTCTTATTGAGAATCTACATTATACATAACCAGACCTCCCTGGAAGACACTGGAATGTCTGCTCCAACAAAAAGAGCAATTTTCTCCTGGCATCAGCAAGGTAACTCCTTGGGAGATAACATTCCTTTCTCAATCCTGTAAGGGGTCACGATGACCCACTACTTGGCCTTTTACATGCAGATCTGGACTATATACACTGTCAGTACGTTACTTTGATGTATGACCTTTTGTCTAGAAAACATATATAACCATGCTTTGACCTCTAATGGGCAGAACAGTCAGTCCTCAGAGCTTTCTGAAAGACTATCTCCTGGGTTATAATCCTCAGGTTGGCTCGAATAACATTCCCTATTTCTTTCTTAGATTGACTACTACTTAATTTTTTGTCAACATAATCTTCCAAGAAGCTCCAAGAAGCAAAGAAGCATTCTTTATAAACTCAGAGGGTTTTTTTTATTCATAATGAAGAAAATTTTATTTCTAAAAATATAAAATAAAAATAAATAAAAAAAAGAAAATTTTATTTCTTTTGACACTACTCCACACTAGGTCTACACATAATATATACTCATTTTAAAATTACACGTACATTTTTGTTTCATAGAATTGAATAATGGAGCTTAGAATAATTGGATTTTAGGAACAAAGAAGGAAAAGGATGGTCATTACCTCTTCCAAGTAAACGTTTGCACTGCGCTGTGTATGACCGACAGCGTCCACCGAAACAGAAGGAGGAACCCCCAGAGCAAATCTCTCCATTTCGTGCATAGGTGTCCACCCCACAGTGTGGCCGAGTCCCAGTACAGTATTCCCTGAAGTCACACTCATCAACTGGCTCCCTACACACAGTACCAGGTGGCTTCAGCTAGAAGAGAAAAGGAACATAAGGGGAAAAAGTACATGTCAAGGACACCCAAGTTTGCTTTCTCTTCAGGCTTGAAATTTCCATCCATTTTTTTCTCATTTGCTAAGAGCAATAAGGAAATTGTTTTCTTGTTAACTGCTTGAGCCTTTCATAGACACCTATTTATTGTGCCCGAAGGAGTGGGTATTGCTTGTGAGAGATATGAGAAACTCCAAGATAAGTAGACCACCGTAATTATAAAAAAAGAAAGTAGAACTAAGGAATTAGTATAAAAATTGCTTTCAACCCATTAAGGGTATGCTCCCATGGGCAGCCTCTGGTTTCTTAACTATACTATTCTTAAAGCAGAAATCAGCAACCATTGACAAAACAATAAATCTTCCTCATAAACATTCAGGAAAAGAAATTTGTAGGGCACATAGGTGAAGGTTTATTTCACAAACCACTTTGAAAACAGCTGTAAAAAACTAGTTTATCCAATTATGCATCTTTCATCTCTTCAGTGCTCATAGCTCCCAGGGCTCCCTTTATGTTTACCTGCTTTTGCCAACAAACATCTAAATATCATCACTGCAAACCCCTTCTTCAAGCCAAGCCCCAGTTCCTCATGGCTATGATCACTATCTTATGCAAACTAAGTCAAGTTTGATTTAGCTTCAAAGGTCCTACAGACACAGCTCAAACCCTGCCTCTCAAAGAGGTTTTCTGGATACTCGTCTCATTGTCAGTAAGTATCTGCTACCTGGGGTAAATATGAAACAGATTCTCCAAGTGACATGTGAGAAGACACGACACTTGTGTCACTCAAGCTTGAGTTAACAGTTAAGGGTACAAATTTTCAGTTATAAAATGAAAGAGTCTTGGGATCTAATGTCCTGCATGATGACTCTAGTTAACAATGATGTATTATATACTTGGAAGTTGCTAAGATAGTAAATCTTAAATGTTCTCACTTATGTGATGTGGCAGATGTGTTAACTAACCTTATTGTGGTCACCTTTGCACAATATATGCTTAATAGAAAGCAAATCATTACATTTTACATCTTAAACTACAGAATGTTTTATGTTGATTACACCAATAAACCTGGGGGAAAGTTTTTAAAGACAAAATCATACTGTTTCTCCAATCTTATGGAGGTGCGCCATTTATCTTGTTCAAGAGTTTGTTTCTTTCTCCTTAGAAGTCCAGTGCATTTGTGCCGTCTGTTGGGCAATTTTCAGGAATTGTTTCAATGCTTTCAATAAAGAAGGACTGAATGGTTATATAACAGTAACTGCATGAATTGCAAAGAGGACTTTACCAGAAGACAGTCTAGAGGAGTTAGCCAACAGAAGGAACTAATCTAACTTCCTGTCCCCATGTGAAGCAGGGTGTTGGAAAATAAGACCTGAAGAGTGTTCCCCAAGATATATGCTGATCATAGAGAAATCTCAATGAGTGTAGGAGAGATTTGTAATGTGGGATACCAATGGGAGGTCAAGCCAGGAGACAGAAGCACCAGGCACTACATACAGGAGAGTCCTAGAGATGATAGATCACTGACTGGACTGAAGTGTGAGAGCGGGTCCAGGACTAATTGCATATAACATAATGGGAAGGATGGAATATAGTACTGACATGTTTTTCATTGCCTTGGAAAAACAAGTATTTCAAGAAATTTCAGAGGGAGAAGCAAGATGGTGCAGTAGAAGGATGCTCATAGCTCACCCTCTACCACAAATACACCAAAACTCACATCTACAGACCCACTCAGCCAACCAGAGCAGCTGCCAAACTCTGACAGAACATTGCCCCCTTCAAAAGACAAAGACGCCAAAAATCTGGTAGGAGAAAAGGAAAAAAGAAAGAAGAAAAAGAAAAACAGTGCAGGACCCATCCTGGGAGGAGGGAGCACAGCAAAGGAGGACTGGCACTCATTCACTGGGTCTCCCCCTCTCCAACGGAAAGATCAGCAGGACGGAGAGGGAGCCTCTGAGGCTCAGATCTGCCCCAAGCACCCCTTGACCAACAGAACTAACTTAAACGGGCACAAAGTGTCCACGCGACACCCAGCCCGAGACACGAGCTGGCAGCTGGGGGCTAGGACAGGCCGCCCGAGCCGGGCAGAGGACTGCGGCAGCTGCACTGAGGTAGCCCCAGGGGACTGCAGGGTGCTGAGCGCTGTGGCTGGCGGGGGCGATATGGAGCAGAACAACCTCGGTTCCCCATAAATTGTGGAAAAAAGCAAAGCAACACAGCTAGTGTGCCCTGGGGGAAGGGGTGCCGTAGCCTTTGTCTCCTCAGACCCATGGCGCCATTACTGGCACTTCTTGCAAGAAGAGAGGCAGGCGCAGCCACAGCCGCCATCTCCTCCTGCACGCAGCATCTGGGTAGTGGCGGGGCTGAGACCTGCATCCACACCTGGGGGCTCTGCAACCTTCTACGCAGGACTGAGACTTGTTTACAGCCTGAGGCAGATAGGATCTTTCTGCCCTGGCACCTCAAAGAACTCACACCACCAAGACAAACAAGGAGTTGAGATTTGGCACACAGCAGGGGCGGGGCTGTTCTGCAGTCTTCTCTGAGCCCGCCTACAGAGCGGAGCACCGACCCGAGTGGAGCAGGTAGCTGCACAGAGCAGCGGAGCAACTGGTGCTGGGAGAGAGCAGGTAGCCACCCGCCTTCCCAGCAGGAACGCAGCACCCTGACCACAGTGCTGGGAGGGGGCGCAATCTGCCCACCTGCCTCGCCCGAGCGCAGCATCTGACTACAGCATCGGGAGGGGGAGTGACCCACCCACCCACTAGCCACAGTACCAGAGAGATATGAGCAATATGAAGAAGCAGAGGAACCACTCCCAATTAAAAGAGCAAGAGAAATCCCCTGAAACTACAATCAAGGAAATAGACATCGATGGCCTACAGATCAAGATTTCAAAAAAGGAGTGATCAAAGTGCTGAAGGAACTAAAAGAAATAGTGTTTAGAGATATAAAATATGTCAAAAATGAAATAGAAGGTATAAAGAACCAAGTAGAATTAGTAAACTCATTTGCTGAGATGAAAGCTGACCTAAAGGCTGTGCAAAGCAGACTAGATAGTGCAGAGGAACGAATAAGTGACCTAGAAGACAGGACAACAGAAAGCACCCAATCAGAACAGCTGAGAGAAAAACAAATAAAAAACAACAAAAACAATATAAGGGACCTATGGGATAACACAAAGTGTGCTAATCTACGCAT